GGGGATGAAGCAGTTGCATTTATACTTCATTACTTACTATTGCTATCCAGCTGTAAAACTTGCACTTAAAACACCTGTATTTATAAAGCAGAAGATGATGCTGGGGTAGCCTGGTGCCATGCACCTTCAACCAGACCAAGCATTGGCTGTCTGTGGCTGGTGAGGAGGCAGGGCTTGGTCGGCAGTGCTGGTGCAGGACAGCACGGCATGGTGGGCACTTGCAGCATTGCACGGCTCCTGCAAGCCAGGGGTGAGTTATCCACCCCTGCAGGGTGTTGGTAGGGGTTCTGAAATGGGTGTCCTCCCTCTGCTGTGCTCTGGACAGAGGCGTTAAATTGCTGGATGAATGATTTGGCCCTAAAGAGAAAGTGTTACTGATGGCAGAAGCACCAAATTAGCACTTGTAGCTGTGTCTTCACTGCATGCCTCTTCTCATCTGTGCATGAGTTGTGGCCACCATGCATGTACCTCCTGCTTGCTGCCACCTTCCCCACCATGGCTTCCCTAGGAGCCCCTTGAGGTGATGGACTCTGTTTGGTCTGTCCCTGGCACAAAGCTCTGGTCTCGTATGAGAGGACGAAATACAAGTCAGAGAGTGTGTGTGTGTATGGTATTAAATACAGGACTGAGCAGACCCCCTTGTAACCACTAGGGCTTGAAATCTCATCTGTCCTCTCTGGTTTCCCCAGCCCTGCCCTGTGGCTTAGCCTCCAAGCTCATTGTACCCCCATCTCCCTGCCATGATGAACTTTGAAACCAGCCTCAGGACTCCCCATTGCCCAAGAGTATGCTGCTGTTCACAGTCCTTATTTGTTCCTTTGGATGGAATTTGGAGTCTCCAGAGTAGTGCATTGACTGTTTTCTTGGCTTCACCAATTTGACAGGTCAAAAATAAGAAAAAAATGTATAGACCAAAGCCTGAAAGTAAATTATAAGACCTGCACCTCTCCTGCACAGTGCTGCCGGTGTCAAACTCCCTCCTGAAATAACTGTAGCCAGCACACAGATGTAACTGAAGTGATGCTCTTGGAGACCCATGACAGTCCCAGGGAAGGCAGCACTTCCATACAAGGTCTTACTCAGCTAATCGAGTTCTCCCATTCTCACAAGAGCACAGGGACAGACAGCACTAAATGTGGTCAGAAAAGCCAGCAAAACCCTGGCCATGATATTTCTACCACTTTTTGTTTCCAGAGGACCTTTTGTACAGGTGCTGGGTGTCTGGGATGGGGCATCTGCTGCCAATCTGGCATCTGATGCAACAGGAGACATGGCTTTTGGTGGTTTAATGCCAAGTGAAAATGTCAGCTTGTTTAACCCTCCCCAAACTAAGACTTCCTGCACTGTCTGTCCACAAAAAGCTTAAATGCATCTTCTAAAAGTGAATGCATCTTCACATGCACCAGAACAAGATCTTTTAAAGCCACACTTGGCTGCTCCTGTTTCAGAGCTTCTTCACTCAAAGACTGCCAGATTTCTTTTCGACGGCTCTACCAGATAGCCTAATAAAACCTATCAGCCTCTGTTAAGGCTCCTTCACATCCATCCTATGGCCACAGCAGTTTGCACTTGAATTGGCTGTTTTGTTTTGGCAAATGTGGGGGGTAACCATTGCTCTTGGTCATCACGCTTCATGTAGCTGTTCTAGCAAATTGTTTGGGTGGCTTGATGACTAATTATAAACCAGAAAAAAAGAGTTCCCATGGATCATAGCAGTAGCTTGTGAAGGTGTTTTCCAGCTGTGCTACTGATTCCCTGTTTGCTCCTGGTTAGGATCCTATTTACTCCTTATCTTCCCAGGTGGGAAATGAAGGAGCAGAGTTTCTCTGTCTCACAGTAAGTGCTGAAATTCACTTCTATAGCATCCATACAGTCCTGCAAGCCAGAGATGCAGATGCTGCAGGACAGGTCATTGAGCAGCCACCCTCTTAACTGGTCCTTTTGGTAGAAATGGTCAAAGACAGTTCGAATTGTTTAACTGCAGGAGCAGAAATCCTTTGGGTGATTGATGTGGCAATGGTAATCTTGAGGAACTCATCCCTTGGCTTTAACATAGTTGTCATATTTCTTTTGGGTTTCATCTTTACACCACTGACCTACTAGTTGATTTTTTTCAAAGTGCTGCTGTCTTGTAAGCCTGGTACAGAGAGGTAACCACACCTCGCTGCAGTGCAGCTCTGTGGCAGGATTACTGCACCACTTTTCCTCTTGAGCACTTGGGTTAACACAAAGCACCACCGGGTGCATGTCTTCCAAAGAAGCCCACTTCACTGCTGCCTGTGTTGTGTGGCTTACATACCTCTAAAAGTTGATGGCTTTCATCTGTCTTCCTCTAAAATTACAAATGAGCAGCTTTCCCATCTGCACCATGTTATGGATCTTTGCATTCTGAGGAGCAGCCCAAAAAAGCTGAGCACATCACTGCCACTGGGTTACAGGGTAGTTGCTAAATACCTGTTTCTGGCTGCCCAGAAGCCAGCATAGCAGTAGCATAGCAGTGTGAGCCACTGTTAAGGGGGCAAGAAAAGTTGGGTAATTTAACCTACTGCATCTCACTCTTTCTCAGCTGTACAACAGGGGTAGTGATGCCTCATCTAAAGATACTGGGAATTACTGCTAATAATTGTCCAGAATCTGTGAAATACTGCTTTAAACGTAATCTGAAAGGTCTTTTGCAAATTCATATTGGTTTGCTTCCTCTCCTCTTGCTAACCAAGAAGCCAGTTTAAACATACATCTCCTAAAGATGATAGGCACTGTAGAGCATGTGCTCAGTGGGGCTCGTGCAGCTTCGCAGGGGTTTAGCTGAGTGTGTTGGCACATGCACACCATGCTCAAACACCAGGTAGTACTTGCACATGCACAAAGGGAATGTCTACAAAATACACCACCCCAGCTGAAGTCTGGTTTCGTAATATATATGATGAGTTGTTTGTGTTACAAATTTGCATTCTTACTATATGGGTTCCATTTGCCCATCTGATTAAGGCTGCACAGATCAGGGGAAGCACTCAAGCCAGCAACCTCCCATCTCACTGGTGCTCCCAAGGCTCCTGACTTTGACCTCTTCTCCTGTTCTGGCAGCCCAAAGCTTTTCATAGTGCACTGTTGTCAAAGGGTGGGGTGAAAAAAGTTTACCATCTGCTATGCTGCCTGCACTGGCTTAATGTGTGTGGTTTGGACAGGTCCTGTTCCACGATAGGTTAGCTGGGACTGAGGACTGTGCTTTATCATTAGCACTGAAGGAATTAATGACCTGGCAGAAGCTTTCCACAGGCTCACAGCAAAGTGAGGGCATTGTGCAAGTATGACATTTTCCAGGAAGAAAAGTTGTGCACTAAAGCCAGAGGGTGTCCAGCCATGAGGAGAGCATCTGGGACTATGGGGAGGCCAAACTATGTTTCCTACTGGTGTGAACACTGAAGGGACTTCCTACCCCACTAGGTCCCTGGGATAATCAACCACAGACACCGTGCCTGGCTCAGGGCTCCCCTTCACCCTCATCATACCCCTATGATGCCTATAAGGGTTAAACACAGGACACAATTGGGTGTTTTTGAAGCTGGGTCAGCACATCTACAGATGGTCAGGTAAGGAGACACACATGCCCAGGGGTGCTTGCTGTTCTTTGACTTCTCAGCTCTCTTTGCAACAGGATTAGATAAAATAAATTTTAACTAACAGGATCTGCTCTGCATGGAAAAGGAAAATGTGCCTTAAAAGCAAACTTCCATGCTTGGAGAGGGTAGGAGCTTGTAGGGCAGCTGGATTTGCTGCTGTACTCTTGCCCACAAGGTACCTCTGCAGGAGCAACAGGCTGGAAGTGAATCTCAGCTCCATCACCTTTAAGCAGGTCCCAGTATCGGCAGCGGGTTTGTGCAAAGCTCCTCTCACTGAGAGGACCCTCTCTGGGCAAGAGCAGTAGCCTGGTTTGGACCTTTTTATGCAGGGCTCCTCCCATCACCTTTTTGGTGTGGAAAAGCAGCAGCTGCTGCCACCAGGTCTCCACAGCTGAGCTCCTCTCACCCTGCTGGAACACCATACAGGATCAGAGAAATCACTCTGCCTGGCTGCCTTGCCCCGTTTGGCCATGGGCTTGTCAACCACAACTGCTACTGAGCACCTGGTTAGCACCAGGTCATCATCCTTGAGCTTTGCGCACTTACCCCAGGGGAAGCAGACCAGGGATGTTGCTTCAGCCAAGAGCACACAGGATCCATTTCCAAAGTACAGAGATGCTTCTGCCAAGGCCCTTCAAGGGGAGGGGAGGAAAAGCCTCAATTTATTTATTTTTTTTTGGCTCCCCCAGTATTGTTGTACACTGGAAGATTTTGGCAGCATGTGGCTGTGCCCACCACTGTAGAGGCAAGGTGCTGCAGGGCACCAGTCCCTTGCTGAATAAAGGTCTGGTCTTTACATGGTGCCAGCAAGTGGAAGCAGGGGATGGCCCCAGACATTTCAGCAGTACAATACAATTTACAGCAAGCACATTTCTCAAGACATCTGCAAGGATAGAGCTTCATTGAGAGTCATATATACATAGACAGCAGAGGAGGATGGGCTGAGCCCTCTGCTACTGCAAAGCAGTCAAGGAGGGACTCTCAGGGTGCGGGGGAAAAGTACCACTGGTTTGCTTTTACATACTGTACATACATCTATTAGTAGCTCCTTGGCATTTGATGTTCAAAGCCGGCTTTCTTTAACAGTGAGCGTAAAAAGGAGGCAAAACATCTTCAGTTGCTTCCCCCTGAGTGGAGAGGGAAAGAAGCATCTCCCATTCCCCCAGCTCAGCTGCCTGCCCAGGTGCCACCTTCGCCAGCGCTGTCACCTCCTGGCACCCTCCTCCTCGTGCTGGCCAGGGCCAGTCCTAACCCTGGGCACCATCCTTGCCCCATCTCCACTGCTCAATGGGATCAGTGCAAGTCTCCGTCAGCTGCTCTACACCTCCGCTCCACTGGACAGGCAGGTGAACCGGGTTCAAACAGAAGGAAACAAAACAAAAAGAAGAAGAAGAAAGACAAAGGGTAGTGAGAAGGTCCGTGGCCCACAGTGGCCAAAGGAAATCTCTTGCTGTGTTTCTCTGACCATACTTGTCCCAGCCACTACAGCTGTTGTGGGATCCCCTGTTCCTTGTAGCCTGTGAGGAGGGAGTGGAGGGGAATATGATTAGTGTTAATTCCTGTCAAGGAACCTCAATGGGGCTCAAACAAGGCATGAGCCTGATTTACCAGGAGCAGCAAATCATGTGGGAGAACTGGGGCTGCCCAGGGCAGGCTCAGAGCTGCAAGCAGCCCTGCCTTGCTCCAGCCAACTCCTGCCCATTCAACCTCAGGCTGCAGCCACCTTCCTGGGCATGGGGACACAGCTGCCAGTGACCAGCCCTGCTGTGGTGGTGGCTGCTGGCCCTGGTGTGGGCACAGACACATCTGCATTAAAAGTTTATAAAGGCACAGTAGGCACCGGTAGCCACCAGTTCTAGCACAGCCCAATAACCTAAAACTTTTATGGAAATGCTGTCTTTTCTGCCTAACTTAGTCTGTATCAGAGCATGTTTTCCTGCAGTGTAGGGGAAATGTCTGCCGTTACATACTGCTCCAGAGACGTCGCTGTTCGCAAGCACTGATCTGGCAGCTTGCTGGCCTTGCATTTAACACACTCACATCCCTTCTTGCAATCTGTCTGTACATTGTCCTTCCAGAGGACTGCCAGGTAGGAGAAGGCTGGTTTCCTCTATCCATGTTCTAGTTCCTATGCTGGCTTTTGCTAACAGAGCTCTCCAGCAGTAACCAATTTGTGTTGTGGTTTCCAGAGATGAACAAACATGTCTTGGAGGAGAAGAGGGACTCCTTTAATCACATAGTCAAAGTTCAAACACAGACCTTGGGATGCCTTTGTGGGCCCTTTACTTATAGTCTCACTGCCTTGTTCTGCACTTGCTTTACTCCAGCCCAGCAGAATTACAGGTCTCAGAATCTCAGGGCACAGCAGCCATCTGGTGGCACTGGGGAATATAAATATTCCCAGCAGCAAAACCAATTGTACGGGGAAACTGTCCAGATGCCTCCTCTTCCACCACTCCTCCTCTTCCCCTTGCCATGAGGTATAATGCACCTCCCAAACAAGGTGGCAAAACCCTCAGGCAGGGTCTCTATTGGCTCATGCTTGGCCCTCGGGAACACCAGGTCCCCACTGCCTAGCAGCCATATGGATCAAGGGCTCAAGGGCTAAAGCAGCCTGTCCTGCTGCTCATCACAGCTGCCCGGTAAAGAGAGGACCCACTCAATTTGCTGTCTGGCACATAGTGGTTGAAGGGAAGCTTCTGATCCCACAGGGGTTAGCTCCTTCAGCCAGGGGTCAGGGCAATAGGTGATTTCTTGTGCTGGCCCAGCATAACAGGAACAATATTGGGTTTTTTAACACTTTCCTAGATGGTTGCAATGACTGCACCAGAAGCTTTAACTGCTTTCTTTTTACAATAGTATCAATACAAAAGATCTATTTTTAAAAGCAGCAAACAGACTGTCTTTACCTGCACTGTCTGCAATAGTGACGATCTTTAAACTAGAAACTTCTTAAAAATCTGGAGGGCTTTTTTGCTTTGTTTAAATTATGTAAGTAGTCGGCTATTTTTATATTTTGAATTTCAAATCAGTCTGAAATGTCAGCTCAAAAGATTGCTTAACTCTTCAAACACTTTTCAATTTATGCTTTTTAATATTTATTTCCAACCCTTACACCAGGTTTTTTGCACATCCTTTAAAAAAGCTGAAGACAAAATACCAGTACATTCCATAACCCCCATTTTTAAGAGAGTTTTTGCTGAACTGGCCCCAACAAATGAACTTTGCTGTACTTTGGAAAAACCCATGCAGTCATCAAGCCTTGGTAAGTCTGGATCTTCTGCTTAATAAATGAGCACAAGGAATGGAACAGGAGATTAATGACATTGATCAGCATGTATTATCCTGCATCAAATTGCTGCTGATTGTATGCAGCTGAACAGAAAGACCTTCACTTCTTTCAAACAACTTTTCCTAGGGAGGGAGAGATGTTTTCTCATGCATTTATGTTCTAAGTGAGTCAGATATGAAGGCAAGATGAGCCGGTTGGAAACCCACATGGACTTGCCTACAGCATTGCTTCATTTTTTTTAGGGTACACATTAAAAAAAACATAACTAAAGCACATTGACTAGAGAGTTGGGGAATGTCATAAATCCTTAGCTAAAGCAAGCAAGTTGGTTATGCTCACAGTAACTTGCCTGCATAGCTGTGCTTTTGATAAAGGTGTGATAGAAATACTTTCAGTCCTGCTATCAGTTTTGAAGCTGTCTGGAAGCCAGTTACAGTGGCCGAGCCTTGTATCTCTTTTTATACAACCAAAGCAAGCCAAAGGATGACCTGTCCTATGCTAAACTTATTTATTAAAATACTTCAGACATAACTTATTAAATATTTTATATATGAAAATGGTCTTGCACAGTAATAGCAATTCTGTATGAAGCAGCTTTGTGTTAGTATGCCTGCAATAAAGTTAAGGTGTAGTTCTGTAAAGCAGACAGCTCTGGGATCAAGGTTAAGCTGGTCTGAGTATCTGCACACAATGTCACTGATTTAATCTAGTTTGCTTGAAAATGCACTTCTTATGTAAACCACTGCAAGTAAGATTCAGGCAAAAAGAAACCAGTCTGTGCCCAGGCTGTCCTACTGGGACTGGGTTCATGCCGTGGGTGTCCTCAGAATGCTCTTGAGGCTGGAATCAGTCCTTGCCCTGCTCTGAGGGCCTCCTTGGGGTGGAAAACATGTCCCTGGGGCTTTACAGCCATAGAATGGATACAGAGACAGGTGGACACACACATGTACAGGCACACAGCTGACTTGGGCTAGGAGTAAGCAGCGCCAGTCGAAGCAAATCCCAAATGGCTAGTCCTGGCTGAGAGCTCTCTGCTCTCCCTGGGGAGCAGCCACGAGGTGTGAAGAGGAGGAGGAAGAACAGAAACAAACTTACCTTGTGAAACTTTGATGGTGAACAAAAGGAGGCAAAGGAACATGAAAGAAAGAGAAAGGGAGAAATATAACTGTAGGTGATATATCTGAAGCACATGGAAAACCAGAAAAGAAGGAATAAATTGAGACTGTGGAGTAAACATAGAACAGCTGCTCTACCACCAGACATTCATACCAGGGCTCAACATTAATTAAAATCTTTGAATTTGAAGAGCAAATGTGTTAATGTTTAAAGATTGGATGAATGGATGAATTCTCATCTGCTTTCCAGCTCACCAGCCCCGAGCAGGACAGGCTGGACGGACTAATATCTCTGAGCTGTGCTCCTACAAATGCTCTGCTCAGTGACATTGCTTATTACATGGGTTTGACCAAAGGGGAGCTGCTGAAGAAAGATGTCAACAACACGTCATGGCATACCAGATGGTCCATGGTCCAAGAGCTGGGAAAACCACACCTGGCAGCTTTTTGCTGTTTTGCTGCTGAGTTTGCTTGTACCCATGGATAACTCATAACCATGGCATGCCTCAGTCTGGCTGGGCCCTGCAAACCTTGATGGGATTTAACATTCCTACAACATTTTAAGGACTTACTCTATTGCAGCAAGAAACTGCAGAAAAGGGTATTTTAACTACTTTCCTCAGGCATAGTCTGGAGGAGTGCTCTTTTTAGATTTTAAAAAACCTAACAGGTCTGAGGAGGCAATTTATCCTCAAAATTTCCTTCACCTCATGAAGGCTTACTAGCTGTTTTAGGATGTTGTTTTCTTCTGAGTCTCTCAAGCCATTTCTGCTCCCTTTCCTTCCTAGGTTAGTGGCAGTAACTGCTCTATCAGAGGCCCTGCAGAGGCGAAAGGGTCAGTGATGCCTTCCAAAGCCCCTCAAAGCCCAAGAGGACAGTAACCATACAATCATCTGCTGCTGCTTCTGGCAACGTCTGAGTGCTGTAATTAGCAAAGGAGTGACAAGTGGACAGCATGGTTACTGCTGGCTGGCAATCCATTTCTGAGATTCGTCAGCCCACTGCAGAAGGAGGGGCTGCAGCAAGAGTGAAACCACAAGCAATGGTACCTTTGCTCATTCATAGGTACAGCCACACCAGTTGTTAACTCCTGTCAGAAAAGGACCAGGGGGTGCTGATTGACAGCTGGCTGAATATGAGCCAGCAGTGTGCCCAGGTGGCTCAGAAGTCCAACAACATCCTTCTCTGCATCAGAAATAATATGTCCAGCAGGAGTATGGAAGTGATTGTCCCCTGTACCTGGCAGTGGTGAGGCTGCACCTCGAACACTTGTGTTCAGTTCTAGGTCCCTCACTACAAGAAGGACACTGAGGTGCTAAAGTGTCTCCAGAAAAGGGCAATGAAGCTGGTGAAGGGTCTGGAGAAAAAGCCTTATGAGGAGCATCTGCGCAGAATATGTTTATTCTGCCTGGAGAAAAGGAGGCTGAGGGGAAACCTTATCACTCTCTACAACGATTTGAAAGGAGGTTGTATCAAGGTGGGAGTTGGTCTCTTCCCCCTTGTAACAAGCAACAGGACAAGAGGAAATGGTCTCAAGTTGCACCAGGGGAGGTTTAGGTTAAATATGAGAAACTTCTTCACTGAAAGAGTAATTAAACACTGGAATAAGCTTCCCAGGGAGGTGGTTGAATCACCATTCTTAGAGGTGTTTAAAAGATGTGTTGCTTAAGAACATGGTTTAAGCACTGGACTTGGTAGAGTTAGATTAATGGCTGGTAGAGTTAGGTTATGGTTGGACTCCATGATCTTAAAGGTCTTTTCCAACCAGAAGAATTCTATGATTCTGTTTGGAGGCCAGAACCTGAGTGAGGGCTTCCTTCAGAAACCAGGTTTGACTTCTTCGCTGTGTTTATTAGAGGCAAAAAAAGACCTGGACAAAGAGTCCCTGATTTCTGTCCCTGTGACACCTTAAGTGTGATATTACTCTATTGATTTCTGTGCTGTGTCTGTCAAGAAATTGTTCATATAAGGAGCTCTGAGCAACTAGGGAGTTCCTGGAAAGGCCATTCCTCTGCCTTCGTTCTGCATGATGCAGCTAATGAAGATGTGTGCTGCATGGGCTTGGGACAAGCTGTGCCTGTAGCAGAGGGAACCTTGCCCAGAAAGCCTTAGGAGGCTCATTTTCTGGTTAGCCTTGGCCAGTTCTGTTTGGCCTTGGCTCTGTGCCTTGTCCCTGCAGCCCTGCCTAGGGCTTTGAGGACAGCACGGTGTGGCAGCGCTGCCACCAAGGGCAGCTGGATATTTGCAGCAGCAAGGATAAAAATCCAGATTTTACTTTTTTTTTTTTTCCAAAATAATTAATGCTTTATTTTAATCTACCTTTGCCTTGAGACAGCAGGTAAAATGAAGGACCATTCCAAAAGCCACATGCTTGTTTGAAGAAGATATCTGTAGCAATTAATGGGACCATTTGGCAATTCATTTAAATTAGCAGAGAAAATTTCCCATACCATTGTGCTGCCAAAAGGAAACTGCACCTAATTAACATTCTTTCTGGGATAGAGGGTAGATTTAGCTTTATTAGGAAAAAATTTTTTTCCTGTGAGGGTGGTGAGACACTGAAACAGATTGCCCAGGGAAGCTGTAGATGCCCCATCCCTTACGTGCTCAAGGCCAGGCTGGATGGGGCTTGGAGTAACACGGTCTAGTGGGAGGTGTCCCTGCCCATGTAGGGGGGTTGGAACTAGATGATCTTTTAGGTTCCAACCCAAACCATTCCATGATACTGAATATCACACTAAAGGCCACTCTACAGGAGATGGGAGCTGGACGGGACCCCTGAGGTCAGTCGGTCTCTTCCTTTGTCCTACCTTGATCCTGACAGACATGGATCTACCCACTCTTGAGGTCCTCCAGTGACAGAGAGGGTAGATCCTGCCATGCTACCTCTTAAACATTTTTACCTTACTGGAGGGACAATGTCCTAATTTCCATACAGACCTTTCCTGCTGTTTAGATCTGTCTTTGGCTGAACTGCTGCTCTCTCACGTTTACCAGCCCACTGAATCTCTTCATTATCTGCTGCCTCATGCCCCTCTGGACTCTCTCCAGCTTGTCCAAGTGAAGTGCAGCCTCCTTAGATGGCCACAAGCCTCACCACAGCTCTGCATCTACTGAGAAAGGTGAGGGAACCAATTAATGTCCCACAGACTCTGCTCCTACTTGCCTGGGCAGTGTTTGTTCCCTCCAGAGCATGTCCTCCTGTGCAGCTCATGACTCACTGCAAGTAACCACATCCTCCTCTGAAAAACAAGTTGTTCTCTAGAGTGTACTTACGTGGTTGATTAATCCTTCATTAGTGTCTTGGACTTGTCTCTACTGAGTAGCATTTATGTTTTTCAGATCATTTATTTCATTTGCTTGAATCCAGCCACTGCCCTCTCTGTGCCAGCCATCCTTGCAGCAACTGACTGTGCAGGGCTGGTAAACCCCCTTTGCCAGTCCATCAAGTCATGAATGAAAATAATGAGCAGAGTTGGATTCAGCGGGGACCTTTCTCCTTTAATCTTTTCACTTCAGTAAAATGCATTTAGAGAACAGTTCTTGAGTACATCTTCACTCCAGCCACATCTCCCTGCCTTGCTGGTAGAAATGCTGTGTGAGACCATGTTAGAAGTCAGGAGGGATGGCCAACTGCCACTGCTCACAAAATTAATCCCTCTGACACAGATGGGAATAAAGACAGCCTGACACAGCTTTCTCTGGAGAAATCCAGGCTGATTTTTATTTTTATTTTCTAAATGAATGAAAGTCACTTATTTGACTACTTTTTTCCAGGAACTGAAGTGTACCTGTTTGGCCCATAATTCTTCTCCTTTTCCCCTCATTAAAGATAGTATGACATTACCCCCAAAGCTCTCCCCTCTGAGCAGGCTCTCCCTTTCAAAGGCTGAGAATCAGCACTAGAAGACGAAAAAACTCTAATAAGCCTCCCTAACTCCCACCCAGCTCTCTACCAGCTCAGACAGGCAGGTCCAGATAGAAAACAGTGACAAGTGGTGTCCCTCAGGGGTCAGTGCTGGGCCCAGTGCTGTTTAATATCTTAATTAATGATATTGACAGTGGCACTGAGAGCACCCTCAGCAGGTTTGCTGGTGACACCAAGCTGGGTGTTGCGGTCGATATGCCAAAGGGACAGGATGCCATCCAGAGGGACCTGGACAAGCTAGAGAAGTGGACCCAGGTGAACGTCATGAGATTCAACAAGGCCAAGTGCAGGGTCCGGTACCTGGGCTGAGGTAACCCAAGATATAAATACAGACTAGGGGAGGTCACACTTGAGAGCAGCCCTGTGGAAAAAGGCCTGAGGGGTACTAGTGGATCAAAAGCTGGACATGAGCCACCCATGTGCAATTGCAGCCCAGAAGGCCAACTACATCCTGGGCTGTATCAAAAGAAGTGTGGCCAGCAGATGGAGAGAGGTGATTCTGCCCCTCTGCTCTGCCCTGGTAAGACCCCACCTGGAGTGCTGCATCCAGCTCTGGAGCCCCTAACACAAGGACATGGACCTGTTGTAGTGTGTCCAGAGGAAGGCAACAAAAATGATCAGAGGGCTGGAGCACCTCTCTTATGAAGACAGGCTGAGGGAGTTGGGGCTGTTCAGTTTGAAAAAGAGAAGGCTCCGAGGGGACCTCATAGTGGCCTTCCAGTACCTGAAGGGGGCTGGACAGGGTTTTTTTACAGGGGCTTGCAGTGAGAGGACAAGGGGTAATGGTTTTAAGCTGAAAGAAGAGAAATTTAGGTTAGAGATTAGGTGTAAATTCCTCAGTGTGGTGAACAGGCTGCCCAGAGATGTTGGGGGAGCTCCATCCCTGGAGATGTTCAAGGGCAGGTTGGATGGAGGTCTGAGCAGCCTGTTCTAGTGGAAGGTGTCCCTGCCTATGCAGGGGAGTTGGAACTTGATGATTTTTAAGGTCCCTTCCAACTCAAAAAAAATCTGTGATTCTGTCCTGATCCAGGGAGTGGGGCACTCATCCCTCAGGGAAAGTC